TGCACTCTGGGCCCTGGAGATCAAAGACCACAAGCTCGGGTCACGCCTGAGTCACTGGCTTGATGAGCTCCTCACCCCGCTGCTCCCCACAGATGGGTTAATTTCAGTCCCATCAGGAGGCCCCGGAAGCCCTCTAGCCTGCCCCCATCCTTTGGCATCTCCCTGGGTTGCTGGCTCCCCCCTCATTGACCCCCCCCATCCTGCGGCCCCTTGGGTGCAACCATTAAAGAAACTGTGCTCCCCCCAGGGGGCCACTGAGAAGTTCTTGCAGTCTAACCAGTGCCTCCTGCTGCATCCTTCTTTGGTGGCAGGTGACAGGTGCCCTGGGCTCTCCCTGGACTCCTGGACTTCCATCACATTCCCTCCCCCAGGTATGACCCTGACCATCAGCACCCTCCCCCAGACCACCAGGAAAGGCAAGGCTGTCTGGGTAGAGAATTAGGGGGCTTAGCTCAGATCCCTGCCCTCAAAGAAGACAAAGATTCCATCTGTATCTCTGGGTGGGTTAATTAGCTCAGGGCTTGAGTTTCTTTCCTCTCCCCACATAAACAACTCCTTCCCCCAGAGCCCCTTCCGAACAAACCTGTTTTCTGGAGCTGCTGCTGCCAGCCCCTCCCCAGACCTGCTTTGTGGTCTGGGTATTGGCTGCTCCCAAGATTATAGGTTATTGTCTGGTGGAGACAGGATGCTGAGGGGGTGGGGGCCAGCACAGACTGGGTTTGGAATGTGAGACTGGATCCAGCTGTGGGTTGGCCGGCTCCTCTTCCCCCTCCGCCCCCCTGCCCTGCCACCAGGTGCTCAGGTGAGTCAAGAGCCACCTTTCAGCAAGAGGAGGGGGAGGAAGGAGCAAAAGGAGAGAAGGGACTAGGGAGGGGTGTGTGGGCCAGGGAGGGGTGTCACAGATTCTGGTTGATCAGGTGAACGACCTCCCTTCCAGACATGGTCCAAGCAGTACATCCAAAGGGGCTCCACTGGTCCCCCGACCCCACGGTCAGTGCTCTGTGACAAAGTGGTAACCCTCCACTAAGCCTCAGTTTCCTCCTTCAGCAGAAGCAGATAAATGGCCGGAAGGGAATGAATACAGCTGGGCAGAGTGTGGGGGCTCCTACAGCATCCCTGAAGCAGCAGGGATAGAACCTTCCAGCAGGCAAGGTGGCCTCGGAACCTTTGTCCCTCAGGTCTCTGTGGACAAGGTCAACCCTTCACTTCAGTGGAAGAGGTGCTAGGCAGGGTCCCTCTGGGAGCAGGAGAGGGGGATGGTGAGTGGACACCCGCTGACACCCTCTCCCATATCTGAGTTCTCCCCTAGCCCCACACTTCCACCCTTGGGGAAGGACATACTCTGCTCTCGCCACCTGCAGTTGGGATGGGGGCAACCAAGGAATGGGCAGCTCCTTCCTGGCAAGGGGGGCCAGGGCCCAGTAATGATGCAGCTTTCCAGCCAGGACCAGGAGTCCCTCCCTCGCGCCCTCCCCTTCTGTCCCTCACATCCCCCTTCCCTCTGTCACTCTGGCTGGGTTTCATTTGCTCCTGCTAGGCGCTCAGCTGCGGTGCCTCCAAAGGCTGAGAATGCTCTTGGGTGAGTGCTGAGGATGGCTGGCCTGGGGAGTGGGAACAGGGGTTAGAAGCTTAGAGGCCAGGGTTTCCCCACCCTCCTCAGCCCTATCCTTTCCCTGCTACTTCTGGTCCCCCAAAGTTGTCTGCCTGAGACACCGGAGCCAGTTAGGTTCAGGGCTGGGCTGGTAGCCCCCCTCTGGTTAAGAATAAGGTTGGAGGGAGGGGACAGGGACAGGGAGGGGACAGGGAGAGCTGGAGATACCCTGCAGGACTTCAGGTCTCTGCACATCTGGACAAATGCAGTCAGGGAGCCTGGATCAAAGGTTTTTTTTGTGTGGAATCACACTTTCAATGCCTCTAAGGGGATAGGGGAGGGGGACAGATTGGAGGGGGCGAAAGAGGGAGCTGTAACTGCTTCAGAGGAGGAGACAGCCCTGCAGACAGGGAGGCTGGGGCTGGTTTTGGGGGCTGCTACTGGACAGCCTGTCCCAGCACTGGGATCGACTGCCCTCCCCATCTATGATCTCCCCATTTGCCTTCCCACACTGGGGTTGCCTGGACATTGTCCAGGGAGACAGCCATCACCCCTCCAGGGAAAGGGCCCCGAGACAGTGGGGCCGGGGGCAGCATCTCTGTGCCGGGGCTTTGGGATCTTACTCCAGCTTGAGGGGCTGGGCATTACACATCCAGAGCCCCAGAGCCCCAGAGGGTGGGAGAACATGGGAAGGAACGCCGGGCCATGATGAGAATCCTACCAGGCAATGTGCAGTAGATCTTGGTCCTTCTCCCACCCTTGCCTTTGGCTCTCTCTCCCCTAGATTCCCATTTTTCTTTGCAGATTTGATTTGATGGAAACAGCAACATTATAATTTGCTATGTGTGTGTGTGGGGGGGGCACATGTGTGTGCCTCTGGGAGGACCCTGTCATGTGCCCTGTAACTTGGGGTGGGGGTGAGAGGAGTGGGAGACATGTCGTGTTCCGCTATATGATTTGACGTCAGAAGCATGTGATTCATAAGAGTGTTTGCACCCACCTGTCTCTGGGCAAATGTATCTGTCTAGGAACCCATGTGTATGCATGTTTGTGTGCTTTGTACACAGATATACAGATGCATCTGTAGGGGTCTGTGTATCTGCCCCTCTGGGTGTGCTTATGTACAAGTATGTCTTTGTTGACTGTGTCTGTGTCTACGTGCATGCTCCCTTGTGGCCTCCGTGGGTAAGTTTCTCTGCATGGGCACCACCTCCATGCCCGCACACTCCAGGGTATAGGGTGTGCCGATGGAAGACTTGGTCTCGCTGTGGGGAGATGTATATTTGTGCCTTGCTGTCTATGCCTACTGCTCTGTGTGGGTGCCTGTGGTCCTCAGGGAGTGTGTCCCTGTGTGTGTGTGTGTGTGTGTCTTTTCTAGTTATGGCACAACAGCAGGATGTGGTTTCCCTAGATCCTCTCTGTTGGGTGGCAGCCAGGCTGATGTTATTTCATAAGACACCTGCTCTGTGCCCCTACCCCAGCCTTTGGTGGAGCCCTGGGGCAGCCTCCATTCCTCCATGTCAGCCTGGTTTGTTCCATCTGTGACCAGAGCCAGCAATCCACCCTCCTAAGGCAGCTGTCCAGTGATCTGTAGCTCCTGGCTGTGGACCCCTGGCCAGGGTTGGGGAGGGACTGCTCTGAAACACTTAGCCAGGGTATATGTTCTGCTGCAAAATGCTATCAGAGAAGAGCCTCCATTCCAATGTTTTTTGGGGTGCAGAGTCTAGACCTGTCAGCCATGTAGTGTGCCATCCTGGGGCAGGTGTGGCGACAGTGGCAGCTCCCTTCATTTGAGTGTAGCCAGGAGCCAGGCAGCCACACGTGTGTGTCCATGTGCCATGGCTCATGCTCTATCCCAGAGGCCCTGGAGGACAGGGATAATAATGGTGACTGTCAGAGGCAGACAGTGGGTGGTGGAGCAGCGCTGTATGAAGGGTACTGGGGAACAGTGCCCGGTAGCTACTGGAGGGGCCCAGGCCTTGATGCAACTTGTACCCTAGCCCTTGTGCAGGAGAGCAATTATGGGGGGTGGGCTGGAAGGCACTTCTGGGGGACTCTGCTGACTGGAAGAAGAGATTGAGTTGCCAAGTTCATTGGCACCTCCTTGATCAACACCCCTCCTCAGTTGCCTCCACACCCAGCCCCTCCTGTGGTCCCCAGACCTATTCCTGTTCTGCCCTTCCTCCTTCCCTCATCACAGATGGGCAGCTCCTAGCTAAGCATCCACTGCACAGCTCAATATAATTGGAGCTCTGCCCCAGACTTCTGGGAGGGTTGGGGTACCACAACCCCTTATTCTTCCTGCAGGGAACCCACCCCTCTACCCCTTTCACATCTGGAGGACCCCATACAGAAGAGGGCACCCTGTGCACCTGAGAACTCTAGGAAGAGGTCACTCCGACCTCCTGACCTCCCTCTTTTCCCCACTAATGTCTTCCCCTTACATGGATCTCATTAGAAACAGCTTCCCATTGAGCCCAGACACCTCCTGCAGGATCCCTGGGGAGATAAAATCCCAAATCCCCAGGTTTCCCTGTGAGCAACGCCTTCCAACATTAGGCATTCTCCCCCTTCTCCCTGCCATGCCTGTTTTGTCTGGAGCTTTTGGAACTGCGGTGACCTTTCAAGTTACTGATCCATTGATGGAACCTTGCTTTGTCATCTCCCTTCCTAGAACGCCCTTCCCCATGTAAATTTCGCTTCTTCTTGTAAAACTTGACTTTTCTGCTCTGAAACCTAATGGACTCTCCTTGCAGACCTTCAGTTTTATCGCCTGCTTCTCTGATCCTAGAACCCTCCCCGCTCCCCGGTACTGGGAATTGAACCCAGGGCGCACTACCACTGAGCTATATCCCCAGCCTTTTTTATTTTGAGACAGGGTATCACTACGTTGCTGAGGTTCGATCGCCTCAAATTTGCGATCCTTCTGTCTCAGCTTCCCTAGTTGCTGGGATTACAGGTGGGATTACACCACGGCCGGTGGATCCCAGAGCTCTTGGTCCCAAATTTTGAGCACGGGGCTGGCTGCAGCCGGCACAGCTTTTCCCGTGTCTTGCCCGTGAGCTCCTCTAGAAACCGACGGGTGGACGCGATGACTGAACGGACTCCTGTCCCTCCGTCTTCTTGCGGTCTGACCTCAGTAGCTCCGGTTGCAGCGCGCGTAGTGGGAGGAGGCTGAGGCGAAGCTGAGCGCGCTGGCTGAGAGCTGCGGCAGGTGGGCGCAGCCAGGTGAGCCCGGGAGGAGCCGCCTCCCTGCTCGCATTCCAGGCCGCGCCGGCTGCTGGCGCCTCTTCGCCCCGATTACCGCTAGTGGCTGCTGTCGCTCAGTGGAGCCCAAGGAGACCACGGCCAGAGCGTCCACCGCCCAAGATGGTGGCTCCCGTGTCTCTGTGAGTGTGTGCGGTCGGCGCAGGGGTGCTGGGCCGGCGCCCCCTCCCGGAGCTTCCAGGCAGGGGGCGGACCAGCCGGGACTGGGGGCCTTGTGGCGGGCTGGGGGGCGGGCAGGTGGAAGCAGGGTCTCTGGGGACCTAACCGAGACATTCCCCAGAGGAAGTCCCCCAGCGCTTTGCATCCCATAGGATGGGTGAGGCGTGCAAGGGAGCCTCATCTCATCTGGTCCCTACTCTGCTCAAAGTGTGGACTTCACTTGGTGGGGTCCCATGAAAGGGTCCACAGGAGCCCGAGGAGGAGGCCAGGGACCTCCATCCTGGGGGCACATCAGTTTGGGGTTTGAGGCTTACTGTGTCTGGGGGAGCAGACCAACACAACTGCCCTAAGGGAAGCTCGGGCTGGTTCCCATCTACCCTGCCCAGTGTGGAGATGCAGGATCTGGGACCACACAAGGACTCCCACCTGGTCAGCCTTACTCACAACTGGACGCACACAGTAATGTTTTATTTACACTCTACCCCTGGTAGCTTGGTTCCCTCAGACCTGAGGTGGGGGGTAATGTCAATGGATTTTTTTTTTTTAATATGTTTTTAGAGCAGCTGGGCCCTATAGAACTTTCTGGCATGATGTAAATGTTCCCTCTACCTGTGCCGTTTAGTCCAATAGTCACTAGCCACATGTGGCTACTAAGTGCCTGAAATATGGCTAGTGTCAACTGAATTTAAATTTTTTTATTTAATTCCAATTAAACAGCCACATGTGACTAAGTGGCCACTGTATTGGGAAGTGCAGTTTTAGAATCTCCACGTTCCAGGCTTCCAGCTGCCTGCTCTTTGGTTCTTTCATCAAAACATCCTAGATCATATCATTTATCCCTCTGCAGAACAGGATGGGATAGCTGGCTTCCAAGTACATAGAAAGGATCTGAGAAACTTCCAGAAGGTCATAGTGGTCCTGCACCCCTCCCCCATTCTAAGATCCTTTGGGCATTGGGCTGGGCAAGGTCATAGAATCACTGCCTCTTAGGAGGAAAGCATATCAAAAGCAGCTATTTTAACCACACAGCAGGGGTCCAAGGTCCCACTGCACTGCTCTGTCTGAAGCTTGCTCTTCCTTATTCTTTCACCCCTCAAATTTTGTGGCATGCCTGCTGGGCATGGCACTGTTCACAAGAAGTAGTTAGCTACCTTTCCAGCCCACGAGGAGTGTCTGTGAGAGAAGGGAGGGGGCCGAGGAGGAAAGGAAGGGATGTGAAGCCACAGAACTATGCAAAAGTAAGCAGAGCTTTGTAAACTACAGGAAGCCACGTAAAATGTCATAGGAAGGGTAGGAACATTTGGGCATGTGTGCAAAGGCCCTGGGGATGAGTGGCCACCAGTGGGGTCAGCAATGCTGGGCATTAACAGACTGCAAAGAAATTTGGGCACTTGACCTCAGAGCAGCAGGCAGCCTTGGAGAGATTTAAGGTGTATGTTTGTTTGTTTGGTGGTGGTACTAGGGACTGAACCCAGGGGGACTCTATGGCTGAGCTCTATCCCCAGCCCTTTTCATTTTTTGAGACAGGGTCTCACCAAGTTGCTACAGCTACAGCTGGCTTTGAAGTTGCAGTACTCCTGCCTCATCCTCCCTAGTTGCTAGAATTACAGGTGTGCACCACCACATTTGGCCTAAGCAGTAAGTTTTTAAAAGTCCCCCTGGGCTGGGCATGGGTGGTGCTCGCCTGTCATCCCAGAGACTCTGGAGGCTGACGGAGGAGCAAGTTCAAGGCCTGCCTCAGCAAGTCAGCAAGGCCTTAAGCAACTTAGCAAGACCCTGTCTCAAAATAAAAAGGGTTGAGGATGTGTCTCAGTGGTTAAGTGACCCTGAGTTTGATCCCTGGTACCAAAGGGGGGAAAAAAGTCCCCTTGGTCAGAGAAGAATAAGGATGGAAACCCAGAATGCTCTCAGACAGTGACTATATTAGTCCAGGCAGGAGATGAAGGTGGGCTGAACAAGACCAACAGGCAATAGCATGGAGAGAAGGCATGCAATTGAGGTAGATTTTGGAGGTGGGATCTACAGATCCTGTTGGTGGACCAGGCCCTGGACTGGGAGAGAGGTAGGGTCAGAACTGCAGGTTTCTGGCCAGAGCACCTGGAAAGGAAAAGGGGCTATTTTCTGAGATGAAAATGACTGAGACAGGGGCATATTTGTGAAGATCAATCAAGAGTTCTATGTAGATAAGCCAAGAAGGCAGCTAGAGGGAGGGGATTGGGGACCAGGCTGGGGCTGTATATTTCAGAGTGGTCCACAGAGGTGGTTCTAAAACCTTTAGATAGTTTGAGCTTGGGAAGAGGATGAAGAAATGAACTCCAGAGGCCAAGGAGTGGCTCATAGTGGGAAGGGAAACCAGGGGATGTGGGGTCTTGGAAGGCAAGTGGTGGCACAGAGCTGTAATCCCAATGAGTCAGGAGGCTGAGGCCGAAAGATCACAGGTTTGAGGCCAGCCTCAGCAACTTGTGAGACCCTGTCTCAAAAAAGGGCTGGAGATGTAGCTCAGTGGTACAGTTCCCCTGATTTCAATCCCAGTACAAAAGAAGAATATTAGAATGTTTCAAGGAGGGCATAGTGAGAAGCACCAAATGCCACTCAGAGTACAGGGGAAGAAGACCAGGGAGTTCTCCTGCACCTGGTGACACAGAGTGGGCTGCCCCTGGAATTCTGCTCCTCTGCTCTTGTTTGACCTACTCACCACATGTATTCCCCATGTGCCAGTTGGCGTGCAGGACTGGGCACACAGCAAATGGACAAGATGGTCATTTAGTGATGTCTCAGAGCTTAGGTTCTTCTAATCAGCAGTTTCAGACACAGGTAGCTCTTCCACGAAACCATAACAAATCCTTTTGTTCTTTTATGTGTTTTTTTGTTTTTGAGTCAGGGGTCTTGCTAGGTTGCCTACGCTGGCCTCCAACTCAAGGTCCTTCTGCCTCTGCCTCCTGAGTACCTGGGATCACAGTCTTGCGCCGCTACACCCAACTCTGTAGTTGTTTTAAGCCATCAGCTTTTACTGTGAGGCATCTGCATCTAAGTACTTAGAGATTCAAAAATGAACAAACTTGGTCTTGACTTTCTAGGAACCCAAGTGCAGACATGCGTGGAGAATCCCTGCATTTACCATAGGGAACTTCAGGAGACTAGAAGACAGGTGCCAGCCCAGCTGGGGGCATCAGGAAGACAGGGGGATGCCTGGGCTGCTTTCAAAGCATGAGTGGCAACTGGCCAGGAAAAGGAGGCTCAAGGATAGACAGGGACAAAAGTACCAGCTCTGCATATGTGGAGAATGGCTTTTTTGGAATTGGCTTTGCAAATGGGAACTTCTAGGTGGCTCTAGAGGTATCCAGAGGCTGTGGAGGGTCTTGTTGGCTCCTGGTGAGGTGCACAGACTTAGGCAATGGGGTACCACCGAAGAAGTAGAAGCAAGGGAGTGACAGGTAGATCTGTGCCTGAGCTTGCTTTCTCAGGCTGTGGGGTGAGGGACAAGTGTGGGGGGAATGACAGCAGAGAGATGGAGGCTGCAGCTGTAAACCATGTGAGCTAGTGGGGCCTGAACTGGGCTGAGGCTGGAAAGATGGGAGGCAGAAGGTGGTGCAGCCCAGGAGCTCAGAATGGCCTTTGGGTTCAGGAGGACTTGAGTTCCAATTCTGCCTCAGGTACTTAGTGTTTGCAAAACCTGGGATAGATCACTTAGTCATGGAGCCTCAATTTCTTTACCCACAGAGAGTAACCTTGATCCTCTTCAGGAATCACTGTAAAGTACTCTGCACAGGGCCTGGCTCAATTCACACTGTGAGTGATAGTTACTGCTTACAGTCACACTGTAAGTGGCGAGGCTGGGATTAGTCCCTGAGTCTAACCATCCTGCACTGCCTACCTCCCTCTTTCAGCCATGGAGATCATTAGATATGAGATCATTAGGAGTTGGAGTTGGCAGGTTTGGTTGGTGGCTAGACATGACCTTCTGATCCCAAATGGCTTATCCTGGCTTCATGCTTGGGGGGCTGGGGGCGGGGCACAAGCTAGCTACCTTCACTCTGGGGCTCAGCCTCCCAAGCAGCCACAGGTCTAGGCTACTGTTCTAGAATCACTGCTGGGTGTGTGTGTGTGTGTATACACTTGCATGTGTGCAGGAATGGGAGTGCCAGAGAAAATCCTGTTCTGACCTTCTTCTGATGAGCTAGGTAGCTGTGGGCTGCAGGGGACTGGTCATCCTTTGGGCTAGGATTCACGAGGTCTGCATTGTAATCCTTGTTCAGCCGTGAACTACTCATGAGCCCTAAGAATCACTCTGTCTCTGGGACTCAATTTCCCCTAAAAATGTCCTATAACATGTGATTGCATAGATGGTGGCAGTCTTCCAGGCTCTGAGTTCTGAGATGCTGCAGCTGTCAAAGCCAAGCTATAGCGTGTCCTGGATGGAAGGAGGCCTTGGAGGGGGTTGGGAGCCTGTACCTCCCTGATGTTGGCCCTTGGTATGAGTGCACACTCCCCAAAGCCCCTGCCCCATTGAGTCCAGTTCACTCCTCAGCCTGGGAGGACTCTGGGCAGGATGAACCCCACCACCCCACCAGAATCTGCCCCCACCATGACGGTCCCCCTAACACCTCTCCCTTGTCTTTTTCATCTCCAGTCTCCCACCGGCAGAGCAGGAATAAACTTTCCAGGCTAAGTTAGATGGATGGTGCCCCTTAGCCTGGTGGGCTGCCCCCCTCATCTCCACACCAGCTCCCCTGTCAAGGGAGGTGTCTGTGTGGTTGGGGAGGGAGGAGGCACAAGCATTTGGGTGGGGGTTGGGGGTGTGGCTCATAGAGTAGCCACACCCTAGGTGTGCCCCTAGAGTAGGAATGGTGCCCCCCGGGAAGAAGCCAGCAGGAGAGGCCTCCAACTCCAACAAGAAGTGCAAGCGTTACTTCAATGAGCACTGGAAGGAGGAGTTTCCCTGGCTGGACTTTGACTATGAGCGGAAGCTGATGTTTTGCCTCGAGTGTCGCCAGGCCCTGGTACGAAACAAGCACGGCAAAGCGGAGAACGCCTTCACCGTGGGCACTGACAACTTCCAGCGTCACGCCCTGCTGCGCCATGTCACCTCGGGGGCCCACCGCCAGGCTCTGACAGTCAACCAGGGCCAGCCCACTTTCGAGGGCCCTGCTGAGGGAGGTGGGGCCTACAGCAGCCTGGCTGCCACCCCCACCTCCAGGGATGTCAAAGTAGAGGTGGACTCTGCCAAAGTGGCGGTGCTGACCACTGTGTACTGCATGGCCAAGGAGGATGTGCCCGACGACCGCTGCTCTGCCCTGCTGGAGCTGCAGAGATTCAACCTGTGCCAAGCGCTGCTAGGCACAGAGCATGGCAATTACTACAGCCCCAGGAGAGTGAGGGACATGCAGGTGGGTGGCAGTCAGAGGGTCTGGGAGTGGGAGGGAGGACACTGAGCCATTTGGGAGCAGCCCCAGCATGCTAGGCCCTTGTGGAACAGCCAGGCACTTCACTCCTGTCTCCACCCTTCAGAAGCTTCACTGGGGCCTATCACAGGCTGGCACTGGGCCAGCAGTGGGTACAAGAGTGAGAGGCCAGGCTGGCCTTGCACACGGGGCACTCCTCTCACTAGCTAGCCAGAGGAGGCAACCTGGCAGCATGGGGGCTTGATTGGCCCATAGATGGGTTTTATTGGTTTTCAACTTTTGGGGGTGGGGGTACTGGTGATTGAACCCAGGGGCACTTGACCACTGAGCCACATCTCTAACCCTTTTTATTTATTTATTTACTTATTTACTTTTGAGACAGGGTCTCCCTAAATTGCTTAGGGCCTTGCTAAGCTCCTGAGGCTGGCTTTGAACTTGATATCCTCCTGCCTTTGCCTCCCAAATCACTAGGATTACAAGAGTGGGTCACTATATCCAGCTCACCCTGTTTAAAAAAAAAAAAAGTGTTAGTTTTTAACTTAAAACATCCAGGAGATGAATGTAAAGATCTAATCTGTGGCTTCTACTAAAAAGTGAAGTCCCCATGCTCTCAGGGCAAGGTATGGGCTTGCCATCATTTCCCCTTACCCTTTGGCTTGCCCCTGGCCCACTTCAAGCTCAAACTCACTCACATGGCCCCTGGAGGCTTACAAGTTGCAGCTGTGTCTTAGGTTCAGCTGTGTGAATCCTGGGGGGCTGGCTTGGGAGTAGGTGAGTTGCATATCATCTTATAGAAAGATGGCAAACAGCACCCAGCTGGCACTCTATGTAAAGTCAGGAGTTGTTAGTGAACGTGTCTGTTGCTAATCTCTGAGCTGAACAGTGGAAGGAGACTCCCAGGAATAAGGTAGACTGGGACCATGTGCAGAAAAACAAAAGGAAAAAAACTAGCCTTCTTAGAGTGCTTTATAGATCATAAAGAACTTTTAAATTTATGAGACCAATAATGAAAATTTACATTTTTAAGTCATGAAAACCCTTTATAAAGACTGGGGGCAGATATTAGCTGAGACCAAGTATTACAGCTGAGAAGACTGAATTTCAGAGTGGTGAAGGGACTTTCCCAAGGTAGCACACAATGAGTGAGTGGCAAGGCCAAGATTAGTCCCTAAGTCTGTCTGACTCCAAGAACTGTGCTCTTTCCACCACCCTGCACTGCCTACCTCCCTTTTGGGACACGCCTAATTGTCCTCAGGACAAACCTAACTGTCCTCCCTCCCTTTCTCTCCCTGGCTGTCCCAGGTGGCCATTGCCAGTGTCTTGCACACAGAGGCCTGCCAGCGCCTGAAGGCATCCCCATTTGTGGGGCTGGTGTTAGACGAGACCAGGGACTGGCCTGAATCCCACAGTCTAGCCCTGTTTGCCACTTCGGTATCCCCATGTGATGGCCAGCCTTCTACCACCTTCCTGGGTAGTGTGGAACTACAGGAGGGCAGGGCCACTGCTAGTCAGCTCTTGGACATCCTGCAGGCCTTCGGAGTATCTGCACCCAAGCTAGCCTGGCTCAGCTCAACCATCCCCAGTGACCGCCTAGGGAGTGTCAGCCTGCAGCTCCAGGCTACCTGCCCACTGCTCACCGAACTGCACTGCCTCCCTGGCAGGACAGATCCTGAACCCCCTGCCTACCTGAGTGAATATGAGAGCATACTGGATGCCCTATTCCGCCTGCACGGTGGCCCCAGTTCTCACATGGTCCCTGAGCTCCGGGCAGCCCTGGACCTTGCAGCAATTGACTTGGCAGGACCAAGGCCAGTGCCCTGGGCCTCCCTTTTGCCTGTTGTGGAAGCAGTGGCAGAGGCCTGGCCTTGCCTGGTGTCCACCCTGGAAGCCGCAGCCCCAGCCTCACCGACAGCTGCAGCCCTGGCTCTGGCCCTGCGCCAGTTCACCTTCGTAGCCTTCACCCACCTGCTGCTGGACGCTCTGCCCTCGGTGCAGAAGCTTACCCTCATCCTGCAGCCGGAAGAGCCCGACCTGGCCTTGTTGCAGCCCATGGTGATGGCGGCAGCAGCTTCCCTCCAAGCCCAGCGCTGCTCAGGGGGAGCCCGCCTCCAGGGCTTCCTGCGAGAACTGGCACTCTCAGACCCCGACCGGGGCGGTGGGCGCTGCGCCTACCGCAGCCTGGAGCTGGTCGGCTACTCAGAGGCCGCGATCAGGGACTTGGAGCGGCTGCGGGGAGCCTTTCTGGACTCCATGCAGAGGGGGCTGCGGGACTCCTATCCCGGGCCCTCGCTGGACGCCGTGGCTGCCTTTGCGGCGATCTTTGACCCCCGCCGCTATCCGCAGGCCCCGGAAGAGTTGGGTGCGCACGGCGAGGGGGCGCTGCGGGTGCTGCTGCGCGGCTTCGCGCCCGCGGTGGTGCGCCAGCGCGCGCTGGGCGACTTCGCTCTCTTCAAGCGCGTGGTGTTCAGCCTGGGGCGGCTCAGCCCGCGGGCGCTGTGCACCAAGCTGGCTTGCGAGAACTCGGAGCTGCACGAGCTCTTTCCCGACTTCGCTGCCCTGGCCGCTTTGGCTTTATCTCTGCCCGCGGGCGCCGGCCTCCTGGACAAGGTCGGCCGCAGTCGCGAGCTGCGATGGTGGGGACAGAGCGCGACCGGGGAAGGCCGGGGAGGCCACGTGGTGAAGATCGCCGTGGACGGGCCCCCGCTGCATGAGTTTGACTTTGCGCTGGCGGCGGAGTTCTTAGAGTGGATGGGGGGAGGGGCTCCTGGGATCCCAGCTCACCTGAGGATGGCTTCCTCATTGCCCCCTCAGCCTGCAGCCCTGGATGCTCCAAGGGCCAAGCCAGACTTGACTATGCTGAAACCAAGCTGACCTACTAACTGTGGTCTACCTAGCTAACCCTCTACCCCTGCTGAGCTCCTAACCCTGGGGGCTGCATGGGAAGAGGGGCCTGAGCAAGTGGACAGAGAGGCTAGCTACGTAAGGTCAGGGCATCGGAACCCCCCATTCCCACCTCCTCCCTTTCCAGAATTTGGTGAGAAGTAACTTACCCTTTCCCTTTCTGGACCCCACGCACATTTGGCCCTAGAAAAGTTGGGGGTTCTTGGTTGGAGGAAGGAAAACTGGGTCTTGGAAATTGAGGGAAAGAATTGGTCTTTGTTTCCTAGCCCAACACTCAACAGTATTTCTTCTTTTTAGGTAAGACAGGAGAGCAGATGACTGTGCTTACTTTTTGGGGTGCTGGGGATGGAACTCAGGTCCTCATGCACACTAGGCAGTTGCTCTACTATTGAACTACCCCCCAAGCCCCGTGTTTGTTTTTACAGATTTTTTAAAAAATTAAAAACTTTTTTTTTTTTTGAGATGGAGGTTTTTGCCATGTTTTTCAGGTTGGCCTCAGTCTCATTAGACCATGTTCTTTTTTGACACACAGCACAGCATACTCTGCATGTGCTCATGGTTCAAGGGCACAATAGATCATGGAGATTGTGGTGTCCTTTCTCCCCTCCCTGCCAGTAGGCTGCCTCAGGGCCTTTCTGTATATGACCATGTATATAGACATACAAATCTACAGATGTGAAATAAATCTATCCTTTCATAGTGTTAACACATAAAAATCAAAAAGACTTCTTTTGGTTTTGCAATGACAGGGTCTAAAAAAGTCCCAAATGGACTGGATTTCTTTCTTTTATATACCTCGCCCCACACCCCTGGACTGGATTTATTTCTAATTTACTTAAAATCTGGTTGTTCAAATTCCTAGCTCTCTTTTGCCCTTGCCTCAGACCTTTAAGACCAAAGATTGCAGACCATGGTGCTGCTGTACCTGCTGCCTCTAAGGGCTGGCCTCTGGCCTGACCCAGGATGCTTAGGGTTTTTATTTTACTTTTTGCCTCCAGGGAAATGTTGTTGGGACCTCACCAGGGCTGAGGAGCACAACCCTTAGACTGATGGATTTTCCATTCCCTTTTGTCAGCCCTTCCTGTGAATGGTGTGGGATATGGATAGAGGGAGGGGACAGCTAGAGAGTGAGAGGGAAGGGGGCTGACCTTTTCCCAAGCCCCCTGAATTTGGGCTTCATTTGCAATAAAGTGGAAACCCAGCACATTTTGCAGTCTTCATGGTGGTATGTATGTCAGGGGCCAGCCCTATCTCTTCTGTCCCCTGCCTTGACTGACCTCCCCTGGGGAGTGCATTTGGACCATTATGCTGCTTCTGTCTATGAGTGTGGGAGGGTCATCCTTCTGGGCTGGGAACCCTCAGCTGTGGACTTCCTGCCTCTGCTTGCCCACCTGTGAGAGCCCACCAATGGGGCCTATGATTTCTGTCTGCTTGGCTGATGCTACTTTGTGAAGAAACAGGAGTTTCTGCCCTGGCTCCACACCCAAGACCATCGGCCTTTTGTTCTGGCTACAGAGGTAGGAAAGAGCCCTGTGGTTCCCCATTTCAGACCCTGCCCTTCTTCCTCCTGCAGCAGGCCCAGCCTCCAGTGCCCCCAGCCCCCTGCTGGCCTCCTTGCCCCTGCCCACTCGGCCTCTGCAGCCCCCGCTGGACTTCAAGCACTTGCTCGCCTTCCACTTCAATGGCACCGCCCCGCTCAGTCTCTTCCCCAACTTCAGCACGGTACGGGTTGGGTTGGCGGGTGGGTGAGTGTGGCCAGCTGGGGAGGTGGGCAGGGAGGGTGGCTCAGAGGCCAGCCTCAGCCTCTGGGTCTAACCAGGAGCTCATTTTCCTGCAACATCCCCTGCCGTGGTTAGGAGCCCCCTGAATAGGGACCCCTGGGCTCAGTAGAGGTTAGGGAACAAGATGGTGTCTCCCCTATCTTGCCATCACTACTGCCCAGAGATGGTAGGTCTCCCTTGAGTTTTTGGTGCAGCGCCTGTGGATAAGCCACGTGTCTCTGTGCAGTCAGTGTGCTTTTCTATTGTAGTTTGTGTCTTTGTAGATCTTTGTGTGTTGTATGTGGATGGAGTGTGTATGTTGGTGTCCTGTGTGTGTGTGAGCAACTCTTTGTGCCTGGGTAATTGTGATTAATGTGTATGCCTGTGTATCTGAACGGTTCTAATTCCATCTCAGTCACCCTTAGGAGCCTCCTTCCTCCTGCTCTCCAGGGTGGTACAGAGATCCTAAGGAGTCAAGGACTTTTGGAGACAGGCCTCTGGACCAGACTCCTCACTGTACCTCACTGACCTGCTCATTGACTCTTAAGGGTGGCCACAATCATTGTTGTCCTCCTTGCTGAGAGCCCTGTAGGCCATTTCCTCTGAGGTCTCATCCCCACCCAGCTCTCTCAAAGCCTCTGTGTTCTTCCTGTGGGAAGGTTTGGAAAGTTCCTCTTGACAAAACCAGAGAACTTCTGCTTTTGGTCAAATAACTAAGCTCCTGAGAAAAAGAAACATAAAAGCTTGGTTTAGTAGAGGAAAAAAAATTATTTAAAATAAGCAAAATAAAGAAAACACCTAGGTTAATATTCCAAGGAAATGAGACTGCTCTGGGAACCCTCAGGCCTCCAGTTGCTTCTCTCCCTGGTCACCACCTTTCTGGCCATAGTTTTTAGAATCCTGACAAGCTATCAGAGCCTTAGGCCTAGTTGCAGGTAGAACTGATAAGACAGGACTAGTCCCTGGTGGTGCATGCCTGTAATCCAAGGGTCTCCTGGAGGCTGAGGCAGGAGGAGCCCAAGTTTATGGCCAGCCTGGGCAACTTATCAAGATCCTGTCTCAAAATAAAAAATAAAAAGGGTTAGGAATGTAGCTCAGTGGTAGAGTGCCCTTGGGTTCAGTCTCCCAAACTGCCAAAACAAAAGTAGGGCTCCTCTTCCCAGGTCCGAGCACACAGGCTGGGTTAGAGGAGGGGAAATCCCAACAGGAGGATTCTTTGTCCCTTCCCTGCCTCTTCCTGCCCCCAATTCTTCTTTTTTTTTAAAATTATTTTTTAAAAATTTATATATGACAGCAGAATGCATTATAATTCATATTATACATGTAGAGTACAATTTTTCATATCTCTGGTTGTATACAAAGTATATTCACACCAACTCGTGTCTTCATACATGTATTTTGGATAATAATGATCATCACATTCCTCCATCATTTCTAACCCCATGCCACCTCCCTTCCCCTCCCACCCCTCTGCCCTATCTAGAGTTCGCCCATTCCTCCCAGGCTCCCCCTCCCTACCCTACTATGAATCAGCCTCCTTCTGTACCCAATTATTTGTCCCAATAGTTGTGATTCTTGTAAAACAACAAAACAGAGACCAAAGGGACAATAAGAGATGTCAAGATGTTCACTAGCCCATGGTTCTACTTCTCAAAATCATTGGGTTACCCTGGCCATCCCCCTGCCTCCAAACAAGTCCAGGCTGACAAGTAAGTCAGCCAGGGAAGAGGCTATCTCTTGTCTAACATCCACAGGATAGGAAAGTTCTTCCTAGAGGCTGACTTCTCAGTGGTCTTTAGTTTTCTGCATTTGGTACTGTCCTTCCTGAATCAACCCCAGAGTTACTGTGCCCTCCCATCCCCCTCACAGATGGACCCAGTCCAGAAAGCTGTCATCAGCCACACATTTGGGGTCCCCTCCCCTCTGAAGAAGAAGCTCTTCATTTCCTGTAACATCTGTCACCTGAGGTTCAACTCAGCGGTGAGAGGGATTCATGGGAACTCCTGGGAGGGGGCTGGGCAATGAGGGGGCTGGAGACTGGGTTTCCTTCTAGGGTCCTTCCAGAGCTCAGGGGCTGTGGTCCTTATTTTCGAGCCCTGTTTGCAGAAGAGACAGTTCTGATACTTCAACTGTCCCATCCTCTCCTCTCTCCTGCCTCTTTCCATAACCCTCTTCTGCCTACCTCTAGACGACTGGGATTCCATCTACCCCCCCTTTGCCACTCTCCTATGTTCTGGATCCTTCTGCAAGAGAGAAGACTGCCCTTACCCACTCTGGGTCCCAGGGGCTCCCCTGTAAGCTCCTGGTCTGGAGCTGAGGTGTTAAAGCACCTCAGAGTTTACAGAATGTGTCATTCCCATCATCTTGACGGGTTCTAATGATACAGCTGTGAAAGAAATAGAGGCACTATTATCATCCACACTTTTCAGATGAGGAAACTGAGCCTAGAGAGGTTAAGTGACTTGCCTGAGGCCACACAGCTGGTAAATAGCAAACCCAGGCCTAGCCAACCCCAAGGCTGCATACTTTCTACTATAGCCTACCCCTGGGGAGAGCAGGGGCCTCATTTTGGCCTCCTCAGAAAGGATTACCTCCTGTCCAGGCAATGCTGGTGTTTAGGTTGGATGTCAGAACTGCTGTCGTGCAAGAGTCCGTGGGGCGCTGAGAAGGCCTCTTTCTCACCTTTGAGGGAGGTGGGCTGGGAGCAATAAGCAGGGATCCCTGGCTGAAGCAGAGAAGACACTGACAGCCCAGATTTGAGGGTCCCTCCAGTCTATCAGGTCATATGAGGCCTTCCAAGAGATGGACAGAGAACTTGCTCTGAGGGAGGGACCGTGTCTTCCTCACACTTCTCCCTGGCACAGTGCCTGACAAGGAGCAAATGATAAATAGCAACCATGTGGTGAAAACATGAACAAAGGAGTGAATGTTTCAGGGCACATGACCCCCACATATGATGACTACCCTGTTGTCTTCATGTGTGCATCTAGAAACTTTTTTTGGGGTGCTAGTGTTCAAACCCAGAGCCTCGTGCACGGTATGATGCACATTTCCCCGCTTTTTAAAAAAATTTGAGACAGGGTCTCACTAGTTGCCCATGCTGACCTCCAACTCTCTATCCTCCTACCTCAGTCTCCTAAGTGGCTTGGATTACAGGTGTGTACCATCACATCCAGCTGTCATCTATAAACTTGATAATGAACATTTACTGAGCAGCAACTGTATGTACTAGGCCCTGTGAGGTTGGCTTTATCATCACAAAGTTTATGAGTGAGGAGACTCGGGCTCAGAGAGACGATGTGACTTGCTCAAAGATGAATAGCTCTTAAGTGGTTGAGTCAGAATTTGAAGGTAGAGGCCACTTGCCTTGGAGCTCCTGTGTGAAAAACAGTCTGTAAACATCAGGGTCATCTATGTGCTGTGATGTAATGACAAGAGTGCACTTCGTGTGACCTGAACCCTGCATCCCTTTAACGTGTCCCTCTGCTCAGCTTCAGTCATGGGTGGGGCATGTGGGCCAGGCAAGGAATTTTGACCCCAGGCCCTCCCCTCTCCAGAACCAGGCTGAAGCACATTATAAAGGCCACAAGCATGCCAGAAAACTCAAGGCTGTTGAAGCTGCTAAGAGCAAGCAGAGGCCACAAAGCCTGACACAGGATGCCGGAGTGGTGTCCCCAACCCCAACTCTGGCCAGTGGAGCACCTGGAGATCTACAGAACAAAGGTCAGTCCTGAACTCTTCTCTTCCTGCCCTAACTCCAGATCTAGCTTCTGACCAGAGTTTCAGAGATTTCTGCGGCTTATTATCTCTCTTGTGTTGGAGTATTCCGTACACAGAGTCTAAGGCACATGGGCTGCAGCCTGGTGAACTTCCCATCTGAGCATACTTAGCTCAGGAAACATGTGACCAGATCCCCAGGAGCCTGCCTTAGGCCCCCTCCTGGTCACCATCTTTCTGTATTAGTTCCAGGGCCACTGTAACAAATGACTACAAATTGGGTGGCTGAAAACAGTAGCAATTTATTTTCCCACATCTCTAGAGGTCAGAAGTCCAAAATTCAGGTGTTGGTTCCTTTACGCAGGCTCAGAGGGAGAACTGTTCTCTGTCTCTTCTGTTTGTTGCCGGCAGTCCTTGGCCCCTAGACTCATCACTCCAGTCTCCAGTCTCTGCCTGTCTTTACATCACGTTGCCTCCCATGTCTCTGTGTCTTCTCACGTGATCTTCTTATAAGGTCACCAGTCATTGGATAAATCCCACCCTAATCCAGCATGACCTCATCTTAATTATATCTGCAAAGACTATTTTCTTTTTTTTTTAATATTTATTTTTTAGTTTTCGGCAGACACAACATCTTTTTTTTTTTTTCAGAATTTTTTTTAATATTTATTTTCTAGTTTTCAGCGGACACAACATCTTTGTTTGTATGTGGTGCTGAGGATCGAACCG